CTTAGTGTTTATATTGTCTTTGGTAATAGCTTCTGCCCACTGGCTTAAGAAATGTCACATTTTCAAATTTCACATATTGGTGTCCCACCATCGGTAACATGTGAGTGGCAAAAGTACCGCTTATTTAAATAAACAGCTGAGTTGCCTTAATTTACATAAGCGCCGCACAGATTTCCTTCTAAAAGTCAAATAATACGGCCCCGAAGTAGGGGCTCCATTTTATTGACTCTTTGCAGGATTTGGCCAACTTTAAATGTTAAAAACTGTGTATTAAAATATAAAATTATAATTTAAAGTTACCGCTCATTCACACATTTGTGTCTGTGTGTAGAGCTCGAAATTCAGAAATCCAAAAATATTGTCAAATTTGCTTCGGACAGGCAGGCAGCGACCAACAGGCACACATGCGCATAAATGCTTCTATTCATATACAAAATATGCAAGTATGCGTGAATAGCAAGTCCAAAAACTTTTAAATGCACACATGCCAACGCTTAGGTACCCTTTCGAAGAAGAACGAGCTAAAATGAAAGAATTTCGCATCGACGGGGCAAACCCTTTCATTATTTCATATTACTCGTCCCCTCAAAAGGGAAGAAATGCCACCGACTTTTGAGAAAAATTGAATTTGTGGGCATTTTTGCTTGTGCGGACGCATACACACACAAACATTTGAACGGTACATAGCCATTCTATCGCACAAATCATATGGATGAGAGTAAGCCAAAGCAGTTTCCTGTAGAGTGAGCGAGTAAAAAGACAGCGTTGCCGTTCCACGGCACAGGCCATATGTATTCTTACTCTCTTGCTGTGAGAGCATGCGGGCATGTCTCGAAGCCGAACAAAAACGAAGGCGAGTTTGGACCAGCCGCAAAAAAAAACGAATGTCACCAATAAAAGTACGGTTTGACCAGTCTATATGTTATTTGGTTAGTGATTTTACACATTTTGCAAAAATGTGACATTTTCAGAAATGTTCAAGAAATGTGTTCAGTGGGCAGAGGCTATAAGATAGGAACATCTCTCAGATATGTTGAAATAAATGAGAAGATGTTGGCACGGCAAAACCTTACCCAACATCTTGACAGAAGATGTTATAGCCATTTTCCACCATCCTTAAGAACTGTCACATTTTCAAATTTCACATATTGGGAACATGTGAGTGGGAAAAGTACCGCTTCTTTCAAAACAGCTGATCGAGTTGCTTTGATTTACCTAAGCGCCGCTAGTATTTCCTTTCAAAAGTAAAACCACACTATCTCGAAGTAGGTGCTTATTTAATGGACATCTTTATATGTTAAAAACTGTGGGATTATTAAAATTCAATTTTATAATTTGCTTGCCTTCGTTGCTATATAAGCTGTTTATGGTAATGATACATTCACATTTTTCATAATATCGATAGAAACTCGATAGATCATCGCAATAAACACGAACGGTTCGGGGCGAAATTACACAAATGTCACATTTTTGAAAATGTGTTTCTTAAGGGAAAACGTACAGGCCGCATTTTGCACATTTTGCAAAAAATGTGACATTTTCAAAAATGTGTAAGAAATGTGGTAAGTGGACAGAGGTTATAAGACTGCTGAGAGTGGCAGCCGAACGCCGGCCTCATACGCCGAACGTTCACACGCCATCCGTACATATGTAAATATAAACGAGATAATCATTTACTTAGGTCACCTTTAGCAACCCAGAGAGCTTTTTAGGTAGGCTAAGAGTAGTTAAGCGATTTATTCAAACAATTATTTTATATATAAGAAATTTTATTGCATATCTTTTTTTTAGCGAAGTTATAAATGCGTATATATGGCATGAATGTTTGGGGGGGAGCTAATCACACAATTAAGATTTATAAATTTGTCCTCCAACGTTGTTCCCAGCGGCAATTGGCCATAACTTTCAGTGACGTCTTTCCCTTTCTTTGTGTTGCTCGGCTATAAAAGAATTGTGATTTTTGAAATTAATACATATTGTCCATAATTATAATAATATGCAAACAAATATACGCACCTTGTAAAGAAATGTCCACGTGCATGAGAACGTGAATAGCTGAGTGGAGATAGCCTGAAGAGATACCTGCAGTAGAAATAATATAAATTGTCAATAATTTTAAGAATACACGAATAATTATACGCACCTGTAAAGTTAATGAAAGGTCCGCTTGCATGAGATTGTGAGTGGCTGCAAAGATAAATGCAGTAAGAAATGAGATTAATTGTTATTAATTTTAAGAATACGCAACCTATTATACGCACATATTAAAGGAAGAGAATGTCCGGCTAAAATAAAATTTATGAAGAGAGTGGGTATAACAGCCGACACGGGCTGATGCAGGTCATCTAGTGTCTAACTGAGGGAGACGAGGTCTGGTGATCGTCTCAGGCAGGGCGGGTACGCTGGGTCCGGAACCGGGACCCGATCTGGAAGAGTAAAGTGGATAAATGGTGTTTTTTTGTTAATTTAAATTGAGCGTCTCACCTTTGTTGTTTACATTTTCTTGTTGTTACAGCTGTAAGTGTTGTTAATTTGTTAGAAGTTCCGATTGGTTGAGGTTATCGATTATATGGTTCATTTTGAACAGTTTTGTGTAGGTCTGTTTTGCTACAGACGTTGTAGCTTTGTTGGTATCGATTGTGCGTATTGCGGGCCAGGGATGGGACTTCACGCAGAGAACCAATGAGCCATCCGGCGCGGCCCACCGAGAAATAAGCAGTTCCGTAACAAACATATGTGTGTCTCGCTCTCACTCATTGCTAATCTTAGTATATATATGTATGTTAGTTTTAAATTCGTACAGCCCAAAAACATATGTGTGTAAGTTAACACATAAGAAGTGCATTTCATATTTATGTCACAAGAACACACTTTTGTTTATAGGAACGCAAGAATGTTGCAGTGCACTTTGCATACATTGCGACATTCTGCTGACGCATGAGTTCAGTGCCCGGCCACTGCGGCCAGCAGCGGTAACCCGACACTTGCCTATGTCGCAAGCGACTGAGTTGGCGTATGCTATATCCTTCTTGCCGGATATAGCAGCTGAAACTTATGCGCCCAGCCTTTGGGTTCAAATCCAATTCAATGCTTCAATTCAGTTTTAGTTTGTATCTGACTTTAAATAAATATACTTGCTCCGGCTTTGCCGTTATAACATACTTTCTTATTATTAAAAAACTCCGAGATCTAAAAACATACATGTGTTTGTGTTGTGTGGTTCTTCGTCCAGTCAGGCATAATGAGAAGAATCTGATCTTTTTTATACTCTTGCAGAGGGTATTATAATTTTTTCGTGAAATTTGTATCGCATAGAAGGAGACATCTCCGACCCCATAAACTGTGTAGATTCTTGATCAGTATCAACAGCCGAGTCGATATAGCCAATGTCCATCTGCCAGCTGTCCGTCTGTCTGTGTCTATGCTAACTAGTCTCTCAGTTTTAAAACTGCTACAGTCCCTCTTCTATTGCACGCAGACATATGTCGAACCAGATAGATCGGACCTCTATATCATATAGCTGCCAGTACGATATGTCAAGAGCCAGCTGGCTGCGTGAAAACTATTTTGTTTTTCAAGATATCTAAACCATACTCGGCATTAACTATTTTTCCTGTGCTTCTTAGATATCGGGAATAGCACTATGATCATTATGAAAAGGATATGGGTCTGGATGGGTATTAAATCTTCGGCATGCCGAAGATAGCCCTTCTTTCTTGTTTTTATTTAATAAAAACTTAAATGACCTAAATGAAATATTTATATTTTATATTCTAATTGTTATGTTTACTGTGGGGACCTATTTTGCTTTAAATAAAAAAAACCTAAGCCGTATTTCAGCAAGGGTAATACATCGTCGGCTTGTTGAAGAATTCTAAGGAACAATGTACGCACCCATTGATAAAAATATCTCTGTCTCACGAAAAACCCTTGATCTGTTCATTCTCACACACGTTAGTGTGTAGAGCTCGAAATTCAGAAATCCAAAAAACTTCAAATTTTGTCAAATGTGCATCGAAGAGGCAGGCAACCAACAGGCACATAATCGCATAAATGCTTGCATCCATATAGAAAAGTGTGTAAGTGTGCGTGCTTGGGCGGCCCAAAAAGTTATCATGCACACATGCCAGCGTTTAGGTACCCTTACAAACAACAAGCATAGAAAATAGCAATTTATCACATGAAAATATATTAATAATATAACAGGACTGCTCAATCGAAAGAGTGTGGGTGTGCACAAGTAGCAAGTCGCAAAAATTGAACATTTTCAATATTTGGTTATTTTTTAGAATTCTTCGACAAGCCGACGATGAATTACCCTTGCAAAAATACGATTTAATTTTTTTTTTTATTTTAAGCAAAATAATTCCCCACAGACAAAAGAAAAATAAGAATATGAAATATGAATATTTCATTTAGGTCATTTAAGTTTTTATTAAATAAAAATATATCAGATTCTTCTCATTTTGCCTGAGTGGACCAAGAAATGCATGATAGAGCATTTGAATGTGTGTGCCCTTTGCTACCACTGATATACAATTGTAGAAAAAATCTCCTGCTCGCGACAAACGCCGTGATCTACTTGTGCGCACATCCACACAACACAAACATATGTATGTTTGTAGATTTCGGGGTTTTCTGAGAAGCTATGCAGGGAGAATGAGGTGCACACAAGTGCGCAAAGCAATGAGTGGGAGCGAGGCACACTCTACACATGCATACGCACATATGTATTTGTGCTGTAAGCAAAAGCATCAGCCGCAGCGACGTTGTGCGCTGAGCGAGATGCGGCTTCATACTGAATGTTCGGCTTTCGAGGCCGGCGATCGGCTGCCACTCAGCAGTCTTATTTTCCCAGGGCATAACAAAATGGTCGCAGGCACCCTTTGGATTCCCTCGTTGCGATTTATCGTGCTTCGATTATTCGGCTGTTTGTCAGATGTATGCATTGTATGGTAAGTGATGTTGCTCTGTGTGAATTGACTATTACAATTACATACATTCGTTTTACGGATGTGCTTGTTTCTCGTTCAGCTTGCCGGCTAAAAAATATTATTGATCAGCAGTCATGTCCGTCCGTCCATCCGTATGTATGAACGCAAGGGTCTCAGAACCTAAAAGAGCTAGGTAGGCTCCTAGTGCCCGCGCAGTACGAGTTTGTTTCCGATAATCGATAACTTGCCCTGTTTCAAAATAATCGATCAAAATCGATATCGAAATCGTGTTTTTTTTAAGCAAATCTCAAGAGATACAAGACCAAAAGTCGCCAAATTTGACATGTTGCTTCTAGAATAGTATATCTATATCAAGTATCTTTCATTTTATAGCACCTCCCCGCTTCCACCACAGAGCTATAAATCAAGAAAATAAACCCATTTGTATTGCCCACCAATTTAAGCCACAATTTTGCTGCAGTTGAAAATTTCATCAAAATCGGTAAAGAAACGCAAAAGTTATTAAAGAAAACGTGTTTCGGCTGCCCACGTAGTTGGTGCAGCTAGAGCAAAGGACAAGAAATCCTGTATACATACACACACACACACATTCATGTGAGTTCTAACAACAGCATTGCAATTACGATTGTATTGTATTCTGTGCTGTGTGTATGTGCTGTTACTTTAATTGTTTTTTTTTTTTTTGATTAGCAAATAATTGTTGGTTTGGTTGTTAAGTAGAGGAGATTGAAAGTAGGAATGTTATGAGTTCGACTCCTATCGAGGGAGCAATTTGTTTTTTGTTTTTTTTATTTTTATTGCTGCATAAAGTATATATAATCTTGATCAGCATCACAAGCCGAGTCGATCTAGTCATGTCCGTCTGTCTGTCCGTGAATCCGTCCGTATATATGAACCAGTCGATCTCAGAACCTATAACAGCTTCAAATTTTGATCGTCGCGAATCAGAATCATTATCCAAATCCTATTTTTGAGCAATTTTCGTAAGTTTTAAGAGCTAGAGTCTTCACATTTAACAAGTTCCTACTTACATAGTATATGCATATCAAATATCAACACCACCCCATAGTAATATATATCAAATAAAATTTAAACCACAATATTATTTCAATTGTGTTTTTGAGAATATACGATTATTCTATAGCACAATCCGATCTACTGCTGAAAACTTCATGGAGATCCTTAAATAAGCGGAAGTTTGCGGCAACTAGCACGAATTGCAAGAATTTCTATATACATGTACCCACACATACATGTGCGTCTTTATATAATTCTATAAACATCATTGCAATTGCGATTCTATTGTTTTCTGTGCTGTGTGTAAGGGACCTTTTTTAAATTTATTTTTATTAGTAAAAAAGCAAACGAGCTCGTAATGCGAGCTGCATTTGGTGTTGGTAGACGAGGGTTCGGGGCTCTCTAAGTCGGGAACTCCCCACTAGAGATTTGTTTATTAATTTTAAAATAAATACTTATAATAATATTAAATATTTAAATTTCGTAGATATTGCATCAGATACGAAGCATTTCACGAGCAATGCTGACCAGCTCGTCCTGGTGGAACGCTGAAGCAATTCGATAGAGGATGATCGACAATGCTGTATCTACTGACTGATATTTCAGGGTCATAAATAAACATGTAATTTTCATCATACTCCGAAATATCTGCAAAATGTAATACGCATATCAATTTAATAAGTCAACCCTTTCTGATTACAACTTACTATTTTATGAAATGAACCCATGTAGATGGAGCTTTTCACTCGGTCCAATTTTATGTTAACTTTTTGTTGTCTGAAATATATAACATTTTAATTTGTTCACGCTACGAAAAATCTTACTTATATTTCTTGGTTCCCCAATTTGATTCATCTGCATGTCTCCATATCTCCGCGTACCTCGCAAGACGCCAATATTTTCTTGCCGTATATCTATTGGGAAGTTTTCGCTGTCGACACTCCAAGATAGACGGCTTTATGTGTTATTTTTGACTTCTACAAAAACCTTTCTGAAATAAATTGAGAAACATATTATATGATCATCCTACTTGCGCGCGTCAGACATTTTAAATAAACTTGTCAAATTTTAATTGAGATCGGTTATGTATGAAAAAATATTGGATAAGAACATGTTTATAAGCTGAACCCATAATGGTGAAAAGGGTATAATGTATTTGTGTAATGTATCGAAATGCTGTTTTTTAAGAAAATATCGTAAATTATGTTAAGGAATTGTTTTTTCCCTTTTGGCCGCGCCGGCTGGCTCATCGGCTCTCTAGGGGTAGTTCCATCCCTGGCCCGCAGTCCGCACAATCCATTTTTCTCTCTTCAATATGTGCGTATAATTGATTGCATTATCTTATAATTATAGACAATATTAACATTTCTTATTACACTCTATCTTTACAGAGCATACATATATCGGGCAAATAACAAAACAGGAACCGGACGAAATAACACTGCCAGAAGCGGTGGCCAAACGCCATCAAAACAAAACGAATAAATGTAGGTTTAAATAGTTTTTTTTTGCGCCAATGGGGAACAAAGGACCCACATAAATAAATATATACATATACGTGCCAAAATGATTATATAAATGGCGGGAAAATATACCTGCGAAAGTGTACAAGTATAATTGCAGCTTGTTTAATTGTTGTCCTAAGGAGCACTTCTTGGTTTGACATTCATGCCGCTCTGTACACTGCACTGCTATACACTTGAGTACCCTTTAAATTACAAAATAAATAAATAAATAAGTGCAATTTAAAATAAATAAAAAAAAATATTTTTATTCATATTAGAAAAAGAAAATAATAAACGGACCAGCAGCGAAAAAAAAAAATAGTTTTAATGGCGGCCAGGGTGAATGCCAGGCATACCTCGACAAAGAGAAGTGGGCGGCCGATATAAAAGATAACTTTACAAATAAATTATAAATATTTCGTTTATTAATATTAACTTAATTTACCATTTCTAGAAACGCTGAAAGAGGTGCTTTCCATTATAATTTAAATGTTTTTTAAATTGTGTATTTTACTTTTTAGTAAATTTGAAGCAAGAGCTGTCCCTTCTAACCGGTAGTAGTCACATTTACCCAATCTAATAATTTCAATTTTTAATTAAAAAATGTCAGCTCAAAATCAGCTTTTGCTTGGTGAAATGGCCGAGCAAAAAGTTTTAATCCAGCTGCTGTAGGGAAAAAATAGCCAAAGCAATCTGCCAGCCAAGTTCCCCCTAAAGTAGAAGGAAGAATTGGAGATGCTGAATGTGGACATTGCGAAGGGGGATCGCGACGCATATGTAAGCCACTGATTTATATCATACAAAACAGTATATTATAACAGTATTTATTTTAGATCAAAACGATGAGCCTACTTTGATTGCCCTCTGGAGTGGCCAAAATTTTATAAATATTGTGACCGATGAGGTTGCAATGAAATATAACATTGATGGTATTTTAGGCAAGCTTCGGCTTAAAACAGACAAACACTTTTATCATGCGCTAATTTGTATGTATTATTAAAAAAAAAATACGAAAACTTGTAAAATAAAACACATATTTTTCATTTCAGAGTCCATTCCAAAGGGAGCTGGTGCTGGGTGTCCAGAACACCAGCTCAGAAAAGCTATGCAGGTGCAAAAAAAAAAAGAATTATAAAAAATTTTTTAAATAATTTAATATAATATTTAAGTTTTTTAGTTATAAACGATTTTATTTATAAGGTAATTAGTTTGTAAGTTAATGCCAAGAAGGACATTTTAACGAAATCGTCAACCCTCTTGCACTAGGTATTTCGCTAGGTCAACGTCATGCAACGTCGTACCGCTCGGTACGGGGCAATGACATCCCCATGTTAAATTCGTTAGTCTAACGAATTGGTGTTTCCACGTTTTAAAAACAGGACCCATCCTAAAGAGGCAGCAAAATAGTTAACGGTGCACCGGTGGACCCAAACTACAGTGAAGGCATATTTTTATTTTTTTCACTCGCCTTCGACCGCTGACCAGATCGAATTCCTCACGCTCGGCACACGCACACACATTCAAAAAATGGTCACCGTTTCTGCCCATATGCACAGATGCAAATTCTAGGTCAATGGCCCAGATGAAGTCGGATTGCCCTCCTCCCATTCTCTCTCTGAGCGATTCGGGCGGCCAGTCGCAGTCGCTCTTCCGCATTTCCCCGCTTAGCGCAGTGGATCGGGCGTTGCCACCCTCACGCTATTTGGGCGCTCCTCTGCACTCGAGCTTACCCCCCACTACCCTGAACATTGATGAAAAATTGATATAGACGCTGCCGATAATATCTAATGCAACAACACCACGCAGATTGTTTTAAAGACATGCCGATAATGTTAAATGCAACAGCACCACGCACATTATTGTAAAGACATAGACAAAACAATTACAAATAATTTGCTTGTGCATCTCCAATTGGCCCTCCCAGCCGGCTACTAACGAACGCCCAACGTAGGCCACACCCACGACGAAAACCCCAGTCGCAACACTGACTGGGCACTGCTGCCGCCAACGCCTGGCGAGGTGGTGAGCAAACTAAGTTTATAGCCGTTAATCTTTTACGTGAAAGAGGCCTAACACACTTCCCTGAAGATCTTCGAACTCGTATGCGTTGGTACCCAATTCGCTCGTACGCGGTGTGCAGATACGGGGGAGTCACCCCGTAGCGCTGTGTACCGCATTCCGAATCGCCACCTCTTCCTCAAGAAGGTACGCATCCCATTCCCTATGGTCCTGATCAAAATATGTTCTGATCGCCAACAGAACCGTTCGGTTCACGTGGTTAGCGGCGTTACTTTGAGGTGAATATATGGCTGTGCGACAATGCGTAATGCCAAATGCCTGGACCATTGCCTCAAACGACTTGGAAATAAACTGCCGCCCATTATCCGTATAGATGACCTCATGCACACCAAATTTGAAAAACACTTCGTGTACTAGGAAGTTGACAACTTCTGCTGCGGTGGCTTTCCTTCAGGAATGTGAACTTTGAAAGTGTCGTCTACGACGACGAATATCCACGCATGCCCTCGTGTTGGCGGTAGATATTTCCGCAAGAGTTCGATGTTGATCTTCGGAAAGGGGCGATCGGCGCGAACTTCTTCCCCAATTCCGACCTGCATCCTGCAATTTTCTGCCTTGGTCTCGTTACAGGTGTCGCATTTCCGCACATTGTCTCTGACTTGTATCGCCATGTTGGGCCGATAATATCGCCTGCGCAGCGCCTTGCATATGCCTTCATGAGCTGATATCTCGTCCGCATGTGCTCGTTGGATGAGTGCTCAATTCCACCTTTTCCACGCTTCGGGATAACGTGTCGGCGACGACGTAATCGGCTTCCTTCCGCTATCGCACCGAAAAGGGGAACGCTTGCAGCTCCAGTAACCACCTGGTCTATCTCCCGCTTAAGCCATTGAGGCTCATAAGTCACTGCAGGCTCGCGTGGTCGGGGATTACCGTGAACTGCATCATCGCTGTATGGCCAGTTTGGCTGCTAGGCACTCCTGGTGTTTGTTGAGCTTCACCGAAAAGAATGCGATAGGCTTCTCCAGCTGCTCGTCATCCAGCTGGAATAACACAGCTCCCACACCGAAGTGAGATGCGTCGCACTGGATAAAAAAATGTCTTTTATACTATAAGTATATGTACAAATACAAGTACAAATAAAAACGAGAGAGACGGGCTATCTTCGGCTCGTCGAAGACCTTATCTTTTCATAATGCTCATAGTGGTTTGGCCGTATCTAAGAATCACAGGAAAAGTAGTTAATGCCGAGTATTGAGTATTGATAAACAAAAAAGTTTTCCATACAACAACTTAATTTTCGTCCGATCGTTCCTATGGCATCTATATGATATAGTGCTCTGATATAAATAAAATTTTGCATTAATGGAGGGAGCATTGTAAAACTAATAAATGCCGAGTTTGGTCAAGATATCTTCTAAAACAAAAAAAAATGTCCCTACAACTTAATTTTCGATCGATCGTTCCCATGGCAACTATATGATATAGTGCTCCGATGTAAATAAGATTTTGCATTAATGGAGGGAGCATAGTAAAACTAATAAATGCCGAGTTTGGTCAAGATATCTTGATAAACAAAAAAATTTTCCATGCAACAACTTAATTTTCGACCGATCGTTCCTGTGGCAGCTATATGATATAGTAGTCCGTTCCAGCTGGTTTTGACATATGAACTGCATGCAACAGAAAGAGGCACTACTGCAAAGCTTCATAAATATAGCATTAAAACTGAGAGAATAGTTCGCATAGAAACAGACAGAAGAAGAAGACTTTATACGACGCAGCAGAATACTCTGTAATGCTTGTTATAGTCATCACAGAGAACCCTGAACGGTTCATGCAAGGCATAATAAGTTGAGCAAAATTGAAGCGATAAGGGGTAAAAGTACGTGTTAGTCTAGTAGGGATAGAGAAATTTAATTGGCTAGTATCACAGAAGAGTCAATTTCACCAGTAATTCATTAGTTCTACGATTAGTTAAGGAAGGAAGGTTAATCATCAGAAGTCTGCTGGAGTATGACGGTAACCGCACACGAGGATCCCAATTAAAACCACGAAGGGCAAACAACAAGAATTGTTTCTGGACGGATTAAATTCTGTCTTGAAGGATAGAGTACTGTGGTGGTATAGGTCGTACTAAAGATATATATAGGGTTTTTGTCTTGTACGGATCGTCAAACTCCTTCGACGATCGCTTGATGAAACCCAAAACAATTCTGGCCTTATTGACCACGGTCTTACCATGAGGTCAATTTAAGTTTATGATCAAGGATGACACCTAGATCACCTGATTAGAAGTACTGTTAACATGCTCAAGTGGTAAGCTATCAAGGATGTAAGAAACCAATTGAGGGGGGCTTTGACGAAAGTCATTACCTTACATTTGGAGCACTTTAAGTTTAAGAGGTTGGCTAGACACCAAGCATTAAACGCATCAATGGCAGCCTGTAAGAGATAACATGATGCTATATCTTTATATGCAAGGCATGACTTCACATCGTCAGCATACATTAGTACTCGAGAGTGAGACAGTATCGAGGGAAGGTCATTAATGAAAAGAGTAAAGAGTAGCGGGCCAAGGATCCTTGTTCCTTGAGGAACACCGGAAGTCACCAGAATTCGTTTAGAAAACGAATTTCTGAAAAGAATCTTTTGGGTTCTGTTACATAAATACTCTGAAATCCAGCTCAAGAGATTGACTGGGAAGCCGAGAAGGCATAATTTATGAAGCAGCAAGGATTGGTTGTAAAAATGATGTCAGTCTGCATCCTTAAACCCATCTATTGCAAGCGAAGTAAACTCAAGAAGGTTAGTGGTTGTAGATCTGCGCTTCACGAACCCATGCTGGGAAGGTGAAATAATAGAACTACATAAATGCTGCAGTTGAGATGTTATAATTCTCTCAAACGCTTTAGGTATAGCGAATAATTTGGAAATACCTGTATAGTTTTCGACATCTGACTTACTCCCTTTCTTATGGAGTGGAATAATGTATGATTCCTTCCAAATGGTCGAAAAAGATGAAGTGTTTACGGACAATTCAAAAAGTTTTAACACAGGTTTACATAATGCTGCAGCGCAGTACCTGAGCACACAAGCAGGAATACCATCAGGGCCCGGTGAGTAATCCGGCTTGATTGTGTTAAGGTCGCTGAGAAGCGAACAAGATGCAGTTTGACCTCTGTAACTGATAAGGATAAGGCAGATTTTTATTATACCTAGAGTAGGCAGTTTGAAAAAAGTTTACGAACAGATCGGCTATGCCTGAATCAGTATTCGCACTCTCATTTGCAAACTTAACGGAAGAAAGCAAAATAGATGTCTTTTGTTTAGAATTGACAAAGTTAAAAAATTGCTTCGGATTATGAGAAAATTGGAAGGAATTCGAAGGTAATCCTTATAGCAGATGGAATTTTGAGTAGAAAAATTTGATCGGGCAACTGCATAGCGGGAGAAATCAGAGTGATTTCCCGATTTTTTTAACTTTTTATAACACCTCGACTTCACATTTTTTCATCTCATAAGTATACTTGAGAACCAGGGAGGCCTATCAGGCCTCGTTGGGTGATCAAGAGGATCGCAGACATCAAAAATAAGTACAAGGTATCATAAAATAGTTTAATGGCAACGTCAATGTCTGCACAATTGTACAGTTGGGACCAGTCGGCTTGCAGAATAAGATAATTCAGTTTATGAAAATCATCCTTTCGAAAACAATGGACACATTCATTCAGTTTATTCCGATTCCTTGATAAGGACTCGGGCTGGTAGATCAATGACCATATCCAAAGTTGGATGACAAGGGTCTTCAGGAATCGTAAACGGAATAATCCTGTGCACAACACTGTCGAACGAATCCAAACCGAAAATTAGATCAAGAGATCGATTAACCTGCCGAGAGGACATTTCATGTAGACCATCAATAAATTCGTTTGACAAGGAAGGCAACAGAAAGTTTGAGTCTGATGGCGATGACCAATCGACATCTGGGAGATTAAAGTCCCCAAGAACTACTAAAAGGTCCCTATCAGAAAGTAGGGCGGAGATAGATTTAATCGCATTAAGATGGATTTGATAAATTGACAAGTTAGATAGAGTGGGTATATATGAACATGAAATCAAGATAGAAAAACATCCAAATACAACTCTCACAGCCACCATCTCAATCTCTGAGATGGGAAGTTCAATGCAATCCGACGGAAGAGCAGATTCGACAGCTATGAGTACTCCACCTCAAAATACGGGAAGCTCGTTCACATCTGTGAGTGGTGTATTTGGAGGTAAAAATGGAAGAGTCTGAGATTTCCGGCTTCAGCTAGGTCTCAGTAAAAGCGATAATTTGAAAATTAAAAGCAAGAGAATCTAAATACAGGTTAACTAGTTTGGATATAAGACCTCTAACATTCTGGCAGGCAAGCTCGAAAGAAGAATTTATTTTTTTGATGCAGCAACTTAAGTTGATGCGCCACTAGAAACAGATGGGAATAAAATCGGAGTCCGATTTTTCTTTTTGGCCTTATATTCTTTGACTATTAAGTGTTCCGGCCAAAACTCTTTACATCAAATGCTAGTAAATATTTTTAGCGGAACACTTATTTTAAAGGATGCAATATCCCTTTCATAGGCGAACTTAAATTTTCAACGTTATACCTGGGGCTTGAATTTTTGCCTGTATAAAGGCTTTTACATCATCTGATGAGAAGTGAGGGGCAAGCCTAGAAAAACAAAAAATATGTATTTTCGGTGGAAACACCTACGTGGCTTAGGCGCCACAGGTAGGACAGTGGGAACACTATTGGCTGTGGTAGCGGCAGCTGTAAATTTAATTGTTGTTGTCGTCCTTTCGGAACTTCTACGACAGCGGACGACACGGATAATTCGACTGGTTTTTCTCGCACCGATGTCATACATTTCGGGACAGAACCAGTGTCCACAGTAGATCTCGCAGCTATCGGGGTAACAAATGAGATGAGCTCCTGTGTAATCGGTGTAGTAGGCTGCTGAATTGCAGTCGGAGACTGAAGGTTATTAGGCAACAGCAAATCACAGGGAGTGGGCTTTTAAGGCCCTGGAGATAAATCGATGTATGGCCGGCTCCCACACCGAAGTGAGATGCGTCGCACTGGATAAAAAAATGTCTTTTAAAATCGGCGTGAACCGACCCCGGAGCTTGATATAAAGTGCGTCTCAACGATGCGCGACAAGATGCCCTCGATGCACGGCGGCGGTTAAGCGTCCTTCACCGTTACGCTATTAAGCTCCCAGGCCTCATCACCTCGATGACGCCTATTTTCAGCATACATTTCTGCTCTGGCTGGTGACAACGGATGATGCCTGTCCTTTACGGGTTCTGGCTCCCTCGATCAGCTGTATCCGATGCTGCAACAATGGCGTCTTCCCTAGACCATCCTTTTCGAATTGGAGACATCCGCGCTTCGCTTCTTCCAACTGACTCCTCTGTTTGTCGTCCAGGTCCCACATTCCCGGATCCGTTACGCAGTCGTCGTCGTTTCGGTAATAAGCCACCTACGGGTTCGCTACTGTCACCTCAGATGCCGGGCCAAGCACCTGTCGAGCAATCTCGAAGGCTCGCCAGAAATCGATTCCCAGGTAAAGTGCCTCCTTTTCCACGGTTGCTGTCCCTGAACGCGCCTGTCCCGCCCTCATCGCGCTCTCTCTGAGAGACCTTCGGCGTATTTGGGAACTCCAGGTTCGGTGGAGGTCCTTCTTCTCCAGTTCCACTAGATGGCTCCCTGCCGGGATCTGTCTTTCCGGAAATCCTGGGACGTGGCGGTGGCAGTGCCGACGCTCCGTCGGTGTTGGAAACCCAGTCAGACACTAGTTCCTCAGCCATAACTAATCTCTTCAAATGTACCACTCTCTTTTATAAGGCCAACAAATCTTAGTACTCGTCTACGAACCTACCAACAACTCCACGATAATAAATAAATAAATATCGGCAACTCACTATCGACACCAAAATCCAACCAAAATAAATAAAGAAATAAGTAAATATCGACAACATATGAGTCACGAAAATTAATTTTTGATGTTTGTAGTGAAATTTCATATTGCAAAACAAATAGTAAGTAATAAACAACACCTAACCAAATATCTAACCATACCATATTTTTATCAAAAGCTGCGTTTGTCATTGCGGTTACCACCAGGCTATGATGGACGCAAACGCTTCGCCAACATGCG